GAAGAGTGTGTCAATGACTATGAGGATGTTTCGCGGTTGCCAGGCTTATATAGTGGGATGTGTGGAAATTGGACCAATCAGAGCGAACGACGCGGATCCATGACCAGCGCCGTTGGATGTCGCTGGTTTCTTGTGGACGGTTGAGATGCGTGCGTGGGGTTAGAGTACATGGAGGATGCGGATTAATGAATGCAAATGGAAGTACTCTAGCAATTTCAAAGAGCGGTAATTAAACGTTCTATTTCTTTTTCTTTCTTTTTAATAGTAACTGAGAGTGAGAATAGTTAAAATTATAAATTAGAGGAAATTGAGAATTGTATAAGTAATAATCAAAAACAAAATAATGCGAAATATATGTACAGCAAATATTAATATTAGTTTTGTATATTGTTATGGATAATAATTTATTTAAATTAAATTTTTAAAAAATTAATCAAGATAGGTTCAAACCGATTTTCTACACTGGTTTTAAATCAGTTTGACCAATTCATAACTAGTTTGTACTGATTTTAAAACAGCCAAAGTTTTGTTAATTGTTAGATTGATTACCAAACCGATTTTCAATTCGACCGATGAAATAATTTTATAAATGAAAGAACTCTACATATATTGATCATCATTTTAATTTTGATTAAAATAATTAAATTGAACTTTGGATTTAACTTGAATTTCTTTTTTCTTCGGCTAATCAAAATTGAAACAAATGGATACATTTTTCTTTTGGTAATCATGAGGGTAAAGATGTTGGGTTAGAATGGACTTCTTTTCTATTTTATTTGACATCAAATTTTCATAGATACATTCTTTTAATATAAATTTGACCTAATTAAAGATTTGATATATATTATATTATGAGACAAAATCAAGTCAACTTAATTCATTGATATCATATGTTTTATATTGATAAATATTAATATATTATTGACATAATATATTAATTTGTTAAATATACATTAAATGTACATTTTTTAACATATATTTATTAATACACATCTAGGATTATATGGATAAACATTCTTACTAAGTGTTTACTACATAAGAACTTATGTATGAGTTATTTCTATAATAATAATAATAAAAGGAAAAATTATTTATGTATATAAAACAATAAGACAAAACAACGTGTTTGGATCATTTCTCACCTCTCCATTACGGGAAATCTAAAAATGAGGCATTAAAAAATAGGGGGAAAAAAAATGATGAGAGAATAAGAATAAAGTAGAGAGAGATAGAGATGATGGAGAGTATGAGAGACATATATGTAGTGAATCGTAAGTGATACAAGAGTGTAATACTAACACTAGATATCAAATGACTAAACTAGAGGTGAAATTGGAGGTAGTTGTAAGTCATTGGAGGGTATAAAGAAAATTAAGTGGGACATGAATAGCTAGAACCATAACTATATTGTTGTTGTGTCACTTATGTGTATGTGATACTAGCGTGGTTGTGTCACGAGTTCAACTAAGATTATTAGGATGGTTGGTGATTAATGTTGGAAGGATGGAAGCATTAAGATGGTGAGTTGAGCAAAAACAACACGAGTTAGGTGATAGTTAAAAGCGATGTTTAATATAAGAACGAAAGATAAATAAGAGAACTCTAACTTAACATTTAATATTTTAGTTATAATAATTAAATTAAAAATAAGTGGTAAGTTAAATCTCCCTTTCTCTTTTAGATCACATGATAAATAAAGCATGTTTGATGATTAATGGATTCTTTATCAAAACCTAACGACCTAATCTAAAAGGTGAGTTACATGGACCAACTCAATGTATTAAACTTGAATTGTCATTATTCTCACACCTTTCACCTTACAAAATGAGTATCTAGAATATGTAACTTGTCTCGATGTATATAAAAATTTAGCTAGTCAATCTACAACATTTCTTCCATTCTATAAATGATGATATATGTTACCCATTCAATCTTTGTATTTCAAAACATAATTGAATGAATAAGGTATCAAGTCAATTATGTGACACTTTCTATTCTGACTACATTTATTATTATTTAATGATGCAAAAATAAAGAAAATAACATTTAGGAAAAATTACTTTACTTTTTTATATACAAAGGCTATCACACAACATTCAAGCACAATTGTGCTTTCCCAAATTTAGGGTTTAGGATTTGTGCTTAAATTTTCATTTTTTTTTCACTTTAAAAAAGAAGCATGATAGTGGGTAACGTAACATGATCATGGTTAGCTTAACACGACCTTGCTCATTATGAGCATAACTGTGTTCCAAAATAATTTTGAAATGTGTGAATTCAATTATGTCAAGCATTCTTTTTAACCCATATTTTCTCTAAAATTAGGTATCAGTCTCACTGTCTCATTTTAGACAAAAAACCTTGTAATCAATACATTTGTCACATTAATTACATTCAATATTCTATTACAATAATAATACTTAAAACACCAATCCAAGCAATACAACAATTCATTCAATTAAGGTAAATCATTCACCACCATAATTCATTCAAATGTTTAAATTAATAAGTAAGAAACACATGATTACATAACACTATTTTGGGTGTTTAAAATCATGCAATTCAAAAACCTAAAAGGGTATAGGGACAACCCTACTATCTACAATTTTGATTCATAATGCATATGGTTAGATAATCTCACCCTTTACCTATACTACGTGATCTCTACTACAAAGGGTGTAGTCCTTGTTGCATGTTCTCTCAATAGTCAGAAAAAACAAGACTAAAACTCTTTGAACTATTTTTCTAACTACTCTCTTAGACTTTGACATGTTGAGTAACGGTCAAATTCTTAAGGTCCAAAATTCGTCACTTAACTTCAAACCCAAAACAACTCATAAAACTTTATGTTTTATTTTTTCTAATGAAAGCTTTTTTAGTTTATTTTAACAAAACTTAAATTAATAAATTAACTTATGCCAATAAAAATAAACTTATTATTATTATTATTATTATTACTACTACTACTACTATAGAGGAGCCAAACACTACAATAAATATTACATATCGTGACATATAAAAAATGTCATTATAAATATAATTTATGTAGATATAAATCTATTTAACATATATTTACATATAATTTTAGTGTTGATTTTGAATGAGATTCAACAACATATATATTGTGTATCAATATAATTTATACCTATACTTTTTAATAATATACCAATATATATTATATTTATAGTGTAGAAAAAAATAGTTTTTAGTGACAAATATTATGTCACTATAGGGTATATGTCACTATAAGATAATTTTTTTTATAGTGAAGACAATTTGTACCTCTATATTTATGTTATTAAAATAAAAAATGTTTTATCTATTGGACTAATTTATCTTCTATATATATAAATAATGTATTTTTATTACAATAAATTCAATATTTATAATTATTTTTTCCCATATTCATTGAAGTACATATTAATTGTAGTGTAATATTGTAAAACTATAAATTTTTATCAATGACATTTTTTTTACTTATGTCTCTTTTGTTTTTATTAATACTATTATTTAGTTTTTTTTTCACAATAATGCTTAAAATGTATTAGAAATATTACATGGTGCAACATAAACTTTTATTAATAAGGAGACTATACAATGATTGCATTTTAAGATGATTTATAGCTTTCCTACAATTTGTGGAAGAAAAAAAAATTCATTTTATTATTATTTTTAGTTGACATAAAAGAAAATATATAACTAAAGTAAGAAATAATTAAGCTAAATAGTTTCATACACCTTTATAAAATAAAATTTATTATAAAATATATCGTCCATAATTTCTTACACTTTAAAAAACTACAAAGTTAGTTGCATAATGCCATCTATAAATTTAAGTCTTTTTTAATTGGGGGTAAAAAAATATATTATTTTAAAATTATTTAATTACATATATCTTAACAGATAAAAAAAATATTTTAAACTATTTTTGCAGTTATTACTAATTAAAAAGTACGCACTTTGTCTTTGTCTTGACATAGAATTTCGAATGTCAAAAGGAAAAAAAAAAATCGAATTCCAAATCATAAATTTATTTATTATGCAAAACACATTAATTAAGCCTGGGCACAATTTCATCTTTTTTATTGGCATGAACATTTCCAGCTCACTAAATTATAGACTAATCCTCTCAAACGCAATTATGGAATTGCCGCTGATCGGACAGATTGTATTTCCAAACTTTTAATATGCAAACAACTGCTGGACATTGTAAGGCCAAGTGAAGTTTGGAGATCCACTCCATATTAACTTTGCAAATTGGTGATTTGCTCCTTCTCCTGGGTGATCGCCATCAAACCACACATATTCAAGAGGGTTACTACAAAGTTCAAACGTTCGTCCATATTTTTCTCCACAATCACTTTCTCTTAAGCGTCCAACACCACAGCATGCTACCTTGCCAACTTTAAAACCTAGACAACATTATGTTACAAACTTATGTTAGTGGAAAACATATATATATACCATATACAATTGCCAAACTCGAAAGTAATTAATCACATTGGATTCACCACTCACCATATTTGAATGGATTATCTATTCTGTCTAAAACTGCATGATAATAATCAAATATTGAATATCTAAATCCGGACAATTCCTTTTCTAGTTCTTCAAGTGCTGCAGATAAAGCTATGTTGTGCTGTCTTGCCAAGCTCGACAAATTTTCATCACAATTATCGTAATCAATTCTCTTATGAGGTGCGCACCCCAACGGTCCTGCGCTTTGAAACGCAATTTTCCTACCACCTAAACTATACACCTCCTACAATTAAGAAATGATATAATATTTTTATCAATTTATTTGTAGACACTGCTTATACATCTTAAAATTTACATTACTCAATTACTATCGAAATAATAACAATAAACATAGTGATAATAAATATTGACCAAAGTCATGTTTTGTGTGATGAAGGTAATAAACTTTTTAATTAATAAAAAGACTTGATCGTAAAATGTGTATTAAAAATGCCGTACTTCTTTGAAATGTGAACAAATACATTTAATTATATATTAGAGGATCATTTCATCATCCAGAGAAAAACATAAGGTAATACTAATTTGAAATGAATCCTATATATCATAATAATTCAAACGATATCGGTATAATTTTTATCAACTATTATATTGTTTAATAACTTTATATTAAATATAATTTTTTTAAAATTTATTATTAGTTTAAAAGTTTCTTAAGATCATATACAAAATTTTATATTAATAAAAGATGTATTAATATCTCATTCTTATAGATCAAAATTGACATAATATATTTATTTTAAAATATATAAAAATATGAACATTTTGATTACTTTCAAATACTTGTTCAATTTTAAAAAAAAATTATATATATATATATATATGATATAGAATTATAATTTAACGGTTTAATTGACAAAATTTATATTTAATTGAAAGTTATTGAATGATATAATAATTAATAAAAGTTACATGTCATTTCAACCCTCATCATATATTATTTATTCTTCCAAAAATTATGAAAAAAAAATTAATTTGAAATGTTACATTGTTTGTTTTTTTTTTCTTTTGACACAAATGAAATTTTACATTGTTATTTCTTAAATATCTACACTAGTATATTGGATCCTATAATTTATTCTTCCAAAAATTGCTAAAAAAAAGTAATCTTGATGTATATACATTACCTTGAGAACGTTAGTCAAGTTTCCAATTACCATCTTAACGAAAACTTTCTTGTATGATTCTGTAATGTTGGGGTTGTGAAGGACAAGTGTTGCATAATCACCGCCACCAATACTAAACACGTACACTGCATTATTTAAAACACTTTTGGCTTTTATATTGCCTAGTTCTTGGTTTAAAGACTTAACAACATCCTTGAAGTATCCAAGTTGATCGCGAAGACTAATCTGAAAAAGAAACGGGAGAAAAATCTTTTACGTCAATTTAAAGTTAAATTCTATTTATGAAGTGATATAAATTAATTTGACACACAGGTTTTGAAAACAAATAAATAAATCTTCCCTTTTAAGCCTCAAAAGAAAAACTAGATTACTCAACCTAAAAGTTAGCCAAATAAAAGAAAATGTTAATGAGTGATCTTAGATCACAGGTTAAAAAAATAATTTATTATTATTTAATTACTTAAAAATATTTTTTTTCAAAATATTAAAATTTTATCTTTCACTTAGTATTTTTGTTTTTTCTTCAAAAAGAAAAGGAATATTCTAAAAGGGTAATGATGATGTACCAAAAATAATGTACTTTACAAAAAAAAAAAGGGTCATGATGAAAAAATGAGATTTGCTACATCCTTCGACGAAGTTAACCGAATCATCTATGACTGAATAACAGATTGACATTTGTTATTAAATTTTCTGTACAGATTTCATGATGTGGGTGTTTAGCTAATTTTTCGATTTATTCTTTCGGAGAATTTAGCATTTTTCTGAAAAAATAAGCAAACTCAATGATTGGTTTAACTAATTAATTATCTGACTTTCATCAGCGTAGTTCATCATCTTTACTGTTGTAGAGGCTCATCTAGGTAAGGCCTAATCTTTAGCTCAATATATACTAAGGAAATAACAAAGAGCCTGTTTATTACATTTTTGTTTCATAAAAAATCACTCTTTTAAAAAAACAATTATTTTTCAGTTTTTTTATTAATTTTCTAAACTTTTAAAAATAACCAAAACGTAAATTTTTTTAAAATTAAAGACTATATATATATATAAATATATTTATTCCTTAAATATTTGTCAATTTTCAGTTTTAGTTTCTAAATATTTCTTTTATTAGTTTTAGTTCTTAAATTTTTTATCAACTTTTACCTTTAGTACTTTACTACTAGATTTTTCTGAAAACTACTTTGAACATGTTTGTTTTATGAGTTAATCATCTATACACTGTTAGTGTAAAATTTTTTTACACTGACAACTAATTATATTTTTTAATTGTGTCATGTCATTGTTAAAAGTAAATATGTTTACAGTAACACGACATAATTAAAAGGTATAATTGGTTACTAGTATAAAAAAATATTACACTGACAATGTATAAGTGATTAACTCTTATTTTATTAAGTCTTCTTGAAAGCAAGAAACACATTTCAAAGTATCAAACCAAAGACTAACTTTTTTTTTTTTAATCTTTTTCTTTGAATCTGATTTTGTGGGTTTCCAATCGGAAACCAAACACATGCTTTATGTTTACATGGATTGCAATAGTAGTTGTGTTTCCAATATACATCTACTTAGCTAGTGAGTTGGTTATCCGCTAAAACTACTCGATTTGCATAATGGAAAGGCTTATAATCTCATATCGTAGAATATTTGAAGCACCACATGCGGGAAAAGGTTGATCATATTCTATATATTAAACACTAAAAATAATTAGTGAAAAACCCACTTTGTTACCAATAGAAATAAAAACTCAGGCTTTGTGCTTTACTAATCAACACATAGCAACATACGTCAAATGTATCTGGGGAAAGAACACATGCTCCAGCTGATGCAAAGTTTGCTCCATCAGTGAATCGATGGTAACCGGGTTGCAAATATGGTGGAAGCATAGGCAGGCCTGCAAATGTAGCTGCATACATGCATGCCACCACAAAATTATACACGCAGAAATATATATATGTACACATATATTATTAGGATTAATTAATTAGGCTTCTTTCATTAGCTTTTTTTTTTTTCTGTACCTATATTTGTCTTAGTTTTAGATTAGCTAGTTCTAATCATGGTTAGTTAGTTTATTAGACCAGCAATCATGGTTAGTTAGGTTGTTATTTCTTTAGCAACTTATACTTGTATATAAAACTGTAATCATGCTCTCTGTAAATGTGTGTTGAAATAATACAAGATGATAATTTTTCTCAGATAATACTAAGCACCTTACCTGCTAACATATATATTAGCAGCAAATTAATTAATTATTAAAATTTGAAGCATATATGCATGGAGAAAATGATAATTAAGTGGAAGAGAGTTGACCAATGAAATCAGGGACTACACGTCCATCTGAGTATCTGCCAGTGGGATGCTTGAAAAATGTTTCTCCATAGGGCCAGTAGGTTGATGCTTCTCTACTAGTGTTGATGTACACGTTATTTCCAGGGTCAAACAGTGAATCACCAAAGATGAACAAGGCTTTGTGTTCTTTCTCTGACTTTAGCTCAGGACGATAACGCATACTGTCTAACTTGAGAATGATTGTTAGTAACCTACATAATACAGAAAATAGACTCGCCATGATATATTTACCTATTTGCTTCTTTGTGTTCCTTATTTATAGTAAGAATTCAACGACAAATGACTCTTTAACAGGCATGTGCATGCATCATTGAATTTGAATGGTAGATGAGTGAAGAGCCATAACATTGCTTTTCAATCTCCTTTTTCAAAATTTGACAGGAAGATGTTGACAAGGCTGTAGCCTACGGCTAGGTTTTAAAAATTTGTGAAACAAATAAGATTAATTAATGCCGCAACATATTCCAGTTGAAGTTAATTAAAAACCTTTCCTTAATTAATTAAGTTGTGAAATTAGTACACTTTAGCATTTAGTACGTTGTAGATTGCAATTCAACACGGATTAATGGACCACCTTTAAATATTGGTTATGGATTAGTATTTCAGTACACCATACAATTAATGTAACAGTTGTATAAATAAATGTTTATATTATATATATATATATATAGAGGAGAGTTCAAACGATACCGGTGTAATTTTTACTAAGTGTTACACCGCTTAATAACTTTATATTAAATGTGAATTTTGAAAATCCAACCGTTAGATTGAAAGTTCATATCTCTTAGATTATATATACCAAATTTTGTTAAAATTGAACAACAACTTGAAGATAATCAAAGTGTTCATATTTTAGTATATTTTGAAATATATATATTACGTTAATTTTGTTTTATGAGAATGAAGTATCAAATCATCTTAGATTAATATAAAATTTGATATATATGATCTAAGAGATATGAACTTTAAATCTAACGGTTGGATTTTCAAAATTCACATTTAATATAAAGTTATTGAACGGTGTAATACTTAGTAAAAGTTACACCGGTGCCGTTTGAACATTCCTCATATATATATATATATAAGGAGGGATCCTTTTACTCTAGGAGTAAGTCTAGACTTACTCCGTTCAATAACTCATGTTCTACATCAAATTTCAACGATCTAATCGTTTTAAATGTGAAAATGATTTTATGATTATCCGTCAATTTGAATTAATGAAATGAAGTCTCAAATGATTTTCAAATTTTCTAAAAATTTACAGATTTGATCTATGCATTAAGAATTTTAAATTGAACGATTAGATCATTAAAATTTGATGTAGAACATGAATTATTGAACGAAGTAAGTCTAGGTAGACTTACTCCTAGAGTAAAAGGATCCCTCCTCTCTCTCTCTCTATATATATATATATATATATGAGAAGGGATTCATTTATTTCGAGAGTAAGTTTACATAAATTTATTCCGTTCAATAATTCATGTTCTACATCAAATTTCAACGATTCAACGTTCAATACAATCAAGAAGAGACTAAAATATGGGACATTTTAGGCGATGAATTTAGTTCTCTTGATGATAATAAAATTCTTGAAGTTGCTAATTTGTCTTTTGATGAACCTTATTTAGAAGTCGTTTATCAATGATGATGACTAAGAATGATTATTTCTCATAGTATTTTTTTTGTGACCTTTTATTACAATGATTTTTGTTAGATTTTTTGTTGTGGACTATGATGCCTCTAGTAATTTGTTTTTGAGACTTATTATAATTTTTTTTGTCATGTTATTCATAGTATATATATCTTGTGTCCACATGTCATATGTTTTTTTTTTATTTCGTCATATCCTTATTTCTATGTCCATTTCGTATTCTTATGTCGTGTTTGAATTCATGCTACATAGTTGATGCTTCTTTGCTACCATTGCTGATGTATACCTTATTTCTAGGGTCAAATAGTGACGACTCACCAAAGATGACCAAGGTCTTGTGATTTTTCTCTAACTTGGGTTTATCACAATAACGCATATTGTCTAACTAAGGATGACAAATATACCCGTACTCGTGGGTAATACCTGAACCCGTCCTGACTTTGACAAGGAATACCCGGTTTGACCGGGTACGGGTACGGGTACAGGTACGGGTAAAACCCGATGCTTTAAATTGGGTACGGGTATGTACTTACCCGCCCCGTACCCGTACCTGTATTCGTCCCCGTTTCTATTTTTAATTTAATAGCCACTTTCAATTTAATTATATTAAATAATTTTAATATTTTTTTATGTGTGATTATTTATTATAATATGAGATAGAGAAATAATTTAATTATAATTATGATATAATAAAAAAATAATTTAAAAATATCATATTTTTTTATAAAAAATAAAAATAAAAAAAATTGATGGGTACGAGTACGGGTATACCCAATACCCGACGGGGACGGGGATGAGAATGAAAATCACATACCCGACGGGTATGGGTACGGGGACGGGGATTGATTTAACTCGCGGGAACGAGGACGGGTATCATGAAACTTATACCCGACCTTCCCCGTTGCCATCCCTATGTCTAACTTTGAGAATGATAGTTAGTATCAAACATATTATGGAAGTTAGACTTGCCATGAGATAAAGAAGTTAAATCCTAAACATATATATGAAGAATGGTACACTTTCTCTAAGAGCAAGTCTTGGTAGACTTATTTCACTTAATAATTCATGTTTTACATGAATTTCAAAAATACAAATGTTAAATTAAAATTTCTTAATACATGGATCAAGTCTATAAATTTTTAAGAAATTTGAAAATTATTTGATGTTTCATTTTATTAATTCAAATTGACAGATAATTATAAAACTATTTTATATGTTGGTTTGAATTTGTATAATGAAGTATATCATATATTTTTCAAATTTTTTAAAAATTTACAAATTTGATTTGTGTACTAAATTTTTTTAATTTAATAATTAAATTATTAAAATTTGATGTAAAACATACATTATTGAGCAAAATAAGTCTATTAAAACTTACTCTTAAAAGTAAATATATTTCTTCTCTTTCTATATATATAATTCTCGGTGTACATTCCTTATTTATAAGTATCATTCACTAAGAATTCAACCATGTACAAATGACTTGTCAATAGACATGCATATTATTGAATTTGACAAGAAGATGTTGAAAAGACTGTTGCCTACGATAATGTTTTATGAAATTGTGAAACAAATATGATTAATTGATCTTTTGAACGGATTAATTGACCACCTTTAAATATTGGTGATGGATTAGTGTTTCAGTAGAATCAGTACACCATACAATTAATACAATGCAAGCTAGCTGTTGTTCAAAGATTAAATATTGCTTGGCTGCGCAATTGTCTCAAATTTGAAACAATCGAAAAAATTAATAGTGTTTGGATTCAAGCAAGATAATCTATAATCAGGTTGAAATATTAGCCAACATGATTTTGAATAAATGTTTGTGTTTGGTTTCACGATGATAAACTGATAATGAATCGAAAATTGGTTTCAAGTTGAAATAATTTTAGATAGCTTCTAAATTGCATATGATTACTAAAGCTCAAACTTTTCGTTTACAAACTAAAAGTTATTCGCTAATAAGTTTTGTAAAATAAAAAAGGTCACATATATTGAGAGATAGGTCCAACACATAATTATTTTATTTTTAGTATAAAATATTGGAGAAAGTTGAAAAAGGAAATATAGGAATAGAGTAGTTTGTAGTTTGTTGTTCTATTATTTGATATTTCTGTTATTTAACTTTTGTTAGGATTGGTTGTTTTGTTAGGAGTCTAAGCTCTTCTATATATAAAAATTGTATCTGTGCATGTGTACATATCAATACAAGAAGTAATTCTTTTCACTTTCTCTTCCACATATTCTTTTATGGTATCAGAGCTCTCCCTGTGAGAGCTCTGTCACGTATTTTCGCGTTCACTTCTCTGACCATCATGGCTGAAGAAGAAATAATTCAAGATCAACCAACCAAAAACCAGAATGGAGGCACCAACAATAACGTTGATCCATCCTCAAATCCCTATTACCTCCACCCAGGAGAGAATCCAGGTGCTATTATTGCCACTCCAAGTCTCAATGGGACAAATTACCACACATGATACAGAAACATGAAGAGGGCTCTTCAATCAAAGAATAAATTCAAGTTTGTAGATGGAAGTATCAAGAACCCAGGACCTTCACATCATCTTTATGATTCTTGGGTCAGACGTAATACCACTGTTTTTGGGTGGATTACAAGAACCTTGTCACAAGAAATAGCTCAAAGCATAGTCTATTTTGAGAATGCGCAAGATTTATGGGAAGATCTCAAGGACAGATTTTCCAAGGGTGACTATTTTAGAATCTCTGACCTTCTTCAAGAAATCCATTCCATTAAGCAAGGTGATAGATCTGTGTCCGCATACCACACTGAATTGAAGACTCTATGGGAGGAATTGAAAGCCCTTAGAGAAGCACCTTCTTGCACATGCAATGTTAAATGTAGTTGCAAATTTGCCAACACTGCAAAAAGGAATAAAGAAGTTGAATATGTTATTTGCTTTCTCAAAGGTCTTAATGACCAATACAACACAGTAAGGAGTCAGATTTTAATGATGGAACCCCTTCCTTCTATAAGTAAGGCCTTTTCTCATGCTCTCCAACAAGAAAGGCAATTAAGCAATCCAACCATCCAAGAATCAAGAGTTATTGCAACCACCAATGATATTGCTAACAATTGGAAAGGAAATTTTGCTGGAAGAGGTGGAGGATTTGCTGGCAGAGGTAGAGGTAAATCCTTTGGTCGAGGCAACACATCCAATTCCAACAAGGTTTGCACCTTTTGTGGTAAAGAAAATCACACTATAGACACTTGCTATTTTAAGCATGGTTTTCCACCAAATTTTAAGTTCAAGAATAAAAACATGCAATCTCGGTACAAGCAAGACACCTGAAATGCAAAATGTGAGTTCTAATAATGATTACAAAGATCCACCTGTTAATATGAGCCAAAATCAGTTCAATGTACTTCTTGATATGATCAAGAGAGTCAATCTACAACCTCACGGGCCTACTGTTAACCAACTGACTCATAAGGATAATGATGAAACAGTTCTTCAGTTTACTCATCAACAACAACACAACACAGGTAATCCTCTCCTACCCAGTGTTTGGATTCTGGACACTGGGGCAGCTGAACATGTGTGTAGCTCTTTGAGTTATTTTAGTAAATATCAATTTATAAATCCTGTTCATATTAAATTGCCAAATGGAAATTTTTTTGTTGCTCATATTTCTGGGACTATCATTTTTCCTAACATTTTTTCTCTTGATAATGTCCTTTATATACTAGATTTCAAATATAACATCATTTCTGTCCAAAAGGTCACTGAAGTTTTAGATTACAAGCTAATTTTTTACAAGGATTTTTGTGTCATGCAGGACCCAACTACCAAGAGGATGATTGGGCTTGCTAAAGCTAACCAACACCTTTATCTGTTGCATAACTCTTGTGTATCCCATTCCAATTCTGTTTGTAATTCAACTTTTATTTCTAAGACTCAAAATAAGAATCCCTTTGATTTGTGGCATTTTAGACTTGGTCATCTATCTTACCAAGTTCTAAAAATTGTGAAGAAACATTCTCCTTATGTTGAGTTCAATGACAATACTGTTTGTGATTACTGTCACCTTGCTAAACAATCTAGACTGCCTTTTCCTACTAGTAATTCTAAATAATCTTCTTGTTTTGAACTAGTTCACATGGATATTTGGGAACCTATTGGTGTTACTTCTGTTCATGGACATAGATTTTTCCTTACTGTTGTGGATGATTTCTCTAGACATACTTGGACTTTTCTTATGAAATCCAAAGCTGAAACCAGAAAACTTATTCATGATTTTGTTGCTTTAACTGAAACACAATTTAATAAAAGAATTAAAACCATCAGAACTGATAATGGGGTTGAGTTTCTCATGCATGATTTTTATGCTCAACATGGGATCTTTGTTGAGTGTCTTTTATTCTTCATTTACACTCAACTTTTGGTACTCTTTTTGGTAATTGTAGATATTTATATATGTTATTTTACCCTTTAAATTGAAAGAATTAAGTTATACTAAAAGAGTAGAAGAGTAGTAGCAAAATCTTAATGAATTTCCTCCATTTGTGCAGAAAATTTGAGAAAGCAGAGATCCACAGCCATAATTGTGGATTTGGAGCTCGAGCTGTGAAAATCTGGGAAGGAATTAGGAGGTCAGAAAGTTGCAGCTATAGCCGTGGTTCTGCAGCTATAGCTGTGGAAATCTGGAATGCACATTTTTTGGGTCCAGAGACTTGGAGCTAAAGCTGTAGGTTCACGGCTAAAGCGTTGAGGCATGGGAGATCAAGAAAAGTCACAGAAACTCACATCCATAGCTGTGGTTTCATAGCTACAGCGTTGGAAGTTGCTTAACCACGAAGGAGTCTCCACAGCTATGGCTGTGGATCCATAGCTGAAGCGGTGAAGCTTACTTCACCATGAAGAACTCTCCACAGCCATAGATGTGGATCTACAACTGCAGCCGTGGGAGAAAAAATCTCATTTTGGACCCTGTTTCGAAGCTCATATAAAAGGGAAAGAAGGAGAAAAACAAGAGATGAGGAAACACAAAGAGAAAAACAGGATTGGGAGCACGAAGAGGAGAAAACAAGGCAAGAGTGAAGATTGGGAAGTTGGATCATTTGGGAACGAAGATCAACCCCTCCTCTTCATCTTTTAATTTGTGATTTCTTCTTCTACTCCTCTAATCTTGTAATGACCATGTGTGGCTAAATCTTTTGAGGATTGGTCCTGATGTAACTACTAACTCTTCTATTTCTTAAATCTATATATGCATTTCATTCTTATTACTTGTGCTTGATTCTACTTTTAATGCTTATACCGGCTTGATCACCCATTATATGAACATTTGGTTTTTGAATCCTGTTGGAAAACGTTTTTGAGAACCCGAACTGAATCTTGCACCTAATCATTTCTTGTTCTAGGGATAGACTTGATATGGTTAGTCACCTTTGTTCAAGTCATTGTTCTTAATGCAAGGTATTAGTCTTAAAACATAGAGGAATCATGTTTTGAGATTAATTACTTTAGGATTCAATTTTGAGGGATCTTGTTGAATTACTAAATGAACGTGGAAGTCATGAAGATGAAATCATATTTATTTTAAGGAAATTTAAGAGTTAGCAAGTGCTCCTCGATCCAATCCTTGTTTTATATAATTGTTCTTATAACTTTTACATTACCATTTTAATTTTGTTTCACATTAGCTCACTTCCAGTCATATCAACATCTCTTTATTAATCATTGGAGTAAGAATTACTAAACTCTCAAATCCTTGAGGACGATACTTAATTACTACATCGAAACTTGGTCCGCTTGCCAAGTGGTGTGTTTCCAAAAACATCATCAATCTTATATCAAACTTCTTGCATAGAAACTCCACAACAAAATTCTGTTGTGGAAAGAAAACATAGGCACATATTAAATGTTACTAGATCTCTACTTTTTCATTCAAATTTACCTAAAGTTTTTTGGAATTATGCTATTAGCTATGTTGTGCATCTTATTAATAGGTTACCCTCTCCTGTTTTAAACAATTGCTCTCCCTTTCAAATGCTCTATGATCAATTACCTACCTTATTGAATCTAAAGGTATTTGGTTGTCTTTGTTTTGCTGGTACACTATTCCAAAACAGAAACAAACTTGATCTTAGAGCCTCTAAAAGTATTTTTCTAGGCATCAAGCATGGTACTAAAGGTTATCTTGTGATCGATATATCTACTAGAAACATTTCTATATCTAGGAATGTTTTGTTTTATGAAGATGTTTTCCCTTTTCATAACAAAGTTTATGATTCTAATCTTGATCATGATATGACTAACAATAACAGCTTTGATTTCTTATTTGCTGACATTCCTGTTTCCACACATAATACCAACATTGATGTTATTACTAATGATAATAATAACCACATAAACCATCATGATGAGTCTCAAGTTTCATCAGAGTGCAACTCACCTGATGTCGCTCCTACAACTATCAGAAGATCAACTCGAACCAGATATCCACCTGATTATCTCACTGACTATCATTGTAATTTGTTAACTGGTCATGACAGTTCTATCTCTAAAGATGTCAAGTATCCTCTTCACAATGTTCACTCTTATTGTAATCTTTCTCCTAAACATTCACGTTTTTTTCTTACTGTCTCCTCTCTAATTGAACCCAAGAACTATTCAGAAGCCGTTAAATCTGAACATTGGATTAAGGCTATGCAAAATGAACTTGATGCTTTGCATCAAAATGGGACTTGGTCATTGGTTAATTTACCTGCTGGTAAGGTTCCTATTGGCTCTAAATGGGTCTATAAAATAAAATATAAATATGATGGATTTATTGAAAGATATAAAGCTCGTTTGGTGGCAAAGGGATACAACCAAATTGAAGGATTTGATTATTTTGACACTTTTGCTCCCGTTGCCAAGATAACTACTGTGAGAATGCTCCTTGCTATTGCTTCTTGCCAAAATTGGGAACTTCATCAACTTGATATTAATAATGCCTTCCTTCATGGAGATTTAAATGAAGAAGTATATATGCAAATCCCACAAGGCTTATCTTGTCCCAAGCCTAATCTTGTATGCAAATTACACAAATTCTTGTATGGTTTAAAGCAAGCTAGCAGACAATGATTTGCCAAATTATCTAATTTTCTTCAAATCATAAAGTACAAACAATCTCCTAATGATCACTCTCTTTTTACTAAGCATATTAATAATCATTTTACTGTGATTCTTGTTTATGTTGATGATTTAATCATTGGTGGTACTGATTCATCTGAAATTACCTCCATAAAAGATATTTTAGATACTCAATTTAAGATCAAAGACCTTGGTCACCTCAAGTACTTTCTTGGTTTAGAAGTGGCCCAATCACACCTCGGCATTTTTAAGATCAAAGACCTTGGTCACCTCAAGTACTTTCTTGGTTTAGAAGTGGCCCGGTCACACCTCGGCATTCATCTTTCTCAACGAAAGTATGCATTAGATTTACTTTCTGATGTTGGTTTTCTTACAGCTAAGCCCGCTCCAACTCCTATGGTGAAAACCAATAAACTTTCACAATCAGATGGTACTCCTTATGCTGATCTGGCTAGTTACAGAAGGCTTGTTGGCAAGCTTTTATATCTCACAACAACTAGACCAGATATTTCATTTGCTGTGCAACAATTAAGTCAACACATTTCTTCTCCTTCCATTGCTCATTACATGGTAGTTACACGTGTTCTTCGCTATCTCAAAGGAAATCCTGGTCAAGGTCTCTTCTACATGTGCAATCTTCGTTACAACTAAAAGCTTTTAGTGACTCAGATTGGGGTTCTTACCCAACTTCTCGCCGTTCTGTTTCTAGTTACTGCATTTTCCTCAGAGATTCACTGATTTCATGGAAATGCAAGAAGCATCCACCATTTCTAGGTCTTCATCTGAAGCTGAATACCGTGCTTTAGCCAACACAGTTGGTGAGATTCAATGGCTTACTTATCTTCTCCACGACTTTGTAATTTCTTTCACTTCCCCTGCTCTCTTGTATTGTGACAATCAATCTGCCAAACATATTGCTACTAACCCTGTTTTCCATGAAAGCACCAAACACATCAAGATTGACTGTCACATAGTTCGAGAAAAGCTTCAAGCAAAATTATTTCATTTACTACCCATTTGTTCCACTGAACAATTGACCGACATCCTTACGAAACCCCTTGAACCTACTCTTTTTAACTATCTTCTTTCCAAGCTGGAGTTCTGAATATATACTCTCCAGCTTGGGGGTATTGGAGAAAGTTGAAAAAGGAAATATAGGAATAAAGTAGTTAGTAGTTTGTTGTTCTATTATTTAATATTTCTGTTATTTGGCTTTTGTTAAAATTGGTTGTTTTGTTAAGAGCCTAAGCTCTTCTATATATAAAAATTGTATCTGTGCATATGTGTACAGATCAATACAAGAAGTAATTTCTTTCACTTTCTCTTCCACATATTCTTTTATAAAAGTTTCTCAAATTTTACTTTAAATTTCTATCATTTTTGGTTTGGATCAGCTTTATAAGAGTTTTATAAAATTGAAAATTTATATCCACTTTTTTATATAGTACTAAAATGTAGATTTTTATAAAATGGATCAGTTCAATTCAATTTAATTTTTTAAAAAAATCAATCCATATATAAGTAAAAAATGAATAACTACACCGCATTGAACCGATTCAATTTCAAAAAAATTAATCTATATTTTAGAAAAACCAAACCGATCCATATTAAAAAAAAACTGATCTACTTTATAAAAAATAGATCGATTAACCGAACTACTTTTATAAAAAGTAGATCGGTTAACTGAACTACTTTTATAAAACAGTTAAGTTTAGATTTTTAAATTTTTAAAAAAATCAATATGAATACTCCTAGTTTACACGTACCGCATTAATCTTCAAAATTGGAAAAATTGTACATAATATTATACTTTTTAGTTATTATAGACTCTGCATTAATCACCAAAAGGCAGAAACTCCAAATCAGTAAAATACTGACAGATTATTACAGCGCTTATATGTCTCAAAAAACAAAACTTTGTTAACCTATTATGCATATCCAAATAGTTGCTTCACAGTGTAAGGCCCTGTAAACATTGGTGGTCCATTCCATATTAGCTCTGCTAATTGGCGATTTGCTTTCTCAGTGGTATGAGCTCCATCAAACCACACATATTCAGCTGGGTTATGGCATACCTCAAATTTTTCTTTTCCACTAAATCCTCCTCCACACCCAAATGCTCTATATGCTCCATTTCCGCAACAAGCTGCATGGCCTTCCTTAAATTCTATACAATGTAGAAAACAATGATATAGTATTTGAATAAACATAATGCACAATTTATGTAAGCAATGAATCAGTCACACTACCATATTTGGAAGGATTGTTGATTTTGCCTAAAAGCGCATTATAGTAATCAAATATGGAATAATAAAATCCCGGTAATGTGCTGTTTAACTTCTTCAGTGCTACAGATAGAAATCTGTTGTGTTGCCTTGCCATTGCTGATGCTACCTCATCACAGCCACCACCCACCTGAGCGTTCCTTGCTCTAACAGATGGCACACAACCCAAAGGTCCTACGTTTTGAAATGCTATTTTTCTGCCTCCTAGAATATAAACTTCCTGCCATCAAATTGTAAAGAAAGAGTTCATGGCATTTGTTAGTGGTAATAGAGGATTAGAGGGATAGAGATCATATGCATAAACTAGGTAGCTTTACTACAAGAAATGTTACATATAGTAACATACAAAAAATGTCACTATAGGTACAATATATGTAAGTATATGTCTATTTGATATATAATTTACACATAATTTTAGTGTTAATTTTGAATGAGATTTAATAACATATTTTGTGTGTCACTATAATTTATACCCACACTTTTTTAATAATATACTAATATATATTGTAATTATTGTGTAGGTAAAAGTAATTTTTAGTGACATGTGTAATGTCACTATAGAGTGTGTGTCACTATATGACAATTTTCTTATAATGTAGAGAGAAGTCTTAGAGTCTATTTTACACAAGTTAAAATTGTTCGAGAGTTTCTATTTTATAATTCTAACCAAACATTTAAAAAAGTTTATGACAGATAAATAAGTTCTATTTATAATATATATTTTAAAAAAATAAATATTAGGTTCAAAGTACTAAATTATAATATAATCTAGTTTGATTTAATTTATTTTTATCTTTAATTATAATTGTAAATATAAAAATTTGAAAACAGATTAAGATATATATTTATACTTTTAAAAATTATATGAAATTTTTAATACTACAAAAATATAAATATTACTCTACTATATTTAAAATTTTTAGATCTGTCACTTATATGAAATAAATGCGATAAATGCTCTTCTTTTCTTCTTTTCTTTATAAAGAGCTTAATTAACTAAATTTTGTAATTATTTTAAAAAAAATTGTAACTAGCTATTTGAGTGTAACAACCTTTGTAATTAACTAATTGAGTCTAATTAAACCTATGTAAGCATTGGTAAATTCTTTTACTTAAAACAATTAAAATTATTGACTAACCTTGAGTGTATTGGTCAAGTTGCCAACCACCATCTTGGCATATTGGGTTTTGTATGACCGAGTGACATTGGGATTTTGGTTGCGAAGGCCAAAGTAATCATTGCCTCCCATACTAAACAAGTATACAGCACTGTTCAAAACCCTCTGGGTTTTTTGATCACCTAGTTTTTGTTCTAGTGACTTCACTAAAGTCTTGAAGTAGCCCAGTTGTGTTGGAAGATTGATCTGGAAAGGGAATAAGTCATTGAGTGCCCCATTGGAAGATTATGGGGAATTAGTATTTAGTACTAGAAGTTACCAAAGGAGGATTTCTATGCTGCAAATTTTGTAAATTACATGAGATATGACATTTAAGAAATAAAGGGGAAGATTTATTGAGAGGAGCACATCACTTACTACTCCTTTTAAATCATTGTGAGCAAGAACACGAGCTCCAGCTGATGCAAAATTAACCCCATCAATGAATTGACGGGCACCATGTTGCAAGTATGGTGGAAGTATAGTCAAATTTGCAAATTGAGCTGCAATAGGCTAAGCTTCAATACTAACATAATTGTAGTTGAAGGTTTCAATACTTGTGAATTTTGATATTATAAAGTTTTTTGAAACATGTAAATGAAGCGAACATAAGAGTTATTTTGAAGTTACCTATAAAGTCAGGGACTATTCGACCATCAGAGAACCTTCCAGTTGGATGGTTGAAGTAGGTTTCTCCATAAGGCCATTTGGTTGAAGCCTCCCTATTGCTGCTTTTGAGGTATTGGTTATTTCCAGGATCAAAGAGGGAATCCCCAAAAACAAAGAGGGTCTTTCTGTTATTGTTAGTCCTAGCAGCATAGCAACTTACTGTGCTGAGAGTGATTAGTATTGCACACAACACAGACCTCGGGCTGGCCATAATCTCCAATGTTATCACCATGGACTCCTGTTGCTACTGTCACTATTTATGAGGAGAATTTTCTAACAAAATGCTACTTAACATATTATATGGCTAAAAACCTATTTTGGTCCCTTATAATTTTTTTTTGTTTTAATTTAGTCTTTTATTAATTTTTTGTTTCAATTTGGTCCCAAACTAATTAATTAGTTTCAATTTAGTCCCAAATTAATTAATTAGTTTCAATGTGAGACTTCCGTCCAAATTATTTAAACGGAGTTAATTTTTTGTCACGTGGATGCCACGTAGATAGATGCATACGTGGCATCCACGTGGATGAGAATTTTTTTTTAAAACACCTGGACCCGGAACGGCCCGTTCTGAAATCAGAACGGGCAGTTCTGGTTGCAAAATTAAAACACCACCAGTGAAGCAGAACGGGCCGTTCTGAAACCGTTCTGATTTCAGAACGACCCGTTCTGGATTCAGAACGGCCCATTCCAAAACTGTGAATAAAATATTCTTTACTTAATTGCTTTTTTGATATTAAAATTATTAATTTTTAATGGGAGAAACAAAAATCATACTATTATGATATTCGAGGGATTAAAATTGTTCAATTAAAAATTAAAGGACCAAAATCGCGCAATTGTAATTCTTTAAGGACTAAAATTATGCAATTAAAATCTTGGAGATCACAAAACTGCACAATTGTAATACTTGAGAGATAAAAAATACAATTAAACCAATATTCTTGATTAATTTTATTAAAAAATATAATAATTTTGAAAAATATTTTTTTATGGTAAAAATTTTAAAATTACTTATTTTTATAAAATATAATTATCTTATAAATAGAGTAATAATTTTTTCTTT